ATGAAAAAAAATCTGTAAAAGAATTAATTGAAAAAATGGGTAATAATGAAGAAATGTTCCGACAAGAACAAATGCAAGCAAAAGAATTTTTACTTAAAGAAGAAACCTTGTTTGCTCAAGGGCTTGAAAATTTAGGCCACACTAAGGTTATCATCCATAGTATTAATATGGGTGATGCTAACCTAATTAGACAAACCTATTATAGGGCTGCCTATGAAGAAAATGAATTTATTAAAAAGGAGATCAATAAATTAAAGAAACAAGGGCTTATTACAGAAACAAACAGTCTTTAGGCATCTCTGGTAGTAATAGTACCAAAGAAAAATAAGAAACTACGCTTCTGTGTAGATTACCGAAAATTAAATTTGGTTACTAAAAAGGATATATATCCTTTGCCACTTATCAATGATCTTCTAGACACATTTGGAACAGCCAAATGGTTTTCTACTCTAGATCTAATCAGTGAATATTGGCAAGTTAGAGTAAGCGAGAAAGATATAGAAAAAACAACATTTATTATTAAATACGGTACGTACGCGTTTAAAGTAATGCTATTTGGCCTCTGCAATGCTCTAGAAACCTTTTAAAGGTTAATGGACCAAGTACTTGGAGACTGCCTTAGAAAATTCGCTATAGTATACCTAGATGATATTATTATTTACTCATGTTCCTTAGAGGAACATTTAGTACATTTAAAAATTATTTTCAAAAAATTAAGAAAAGCAGAATTAAAATTAAATCTGGAAAAGTGTTGAGATTCATTATCTGGGACACATAATAAATAAGGAGGGTGAGACCTGATGAGTCTAAAACTGAAAAAGTGAAGAAATTTCCTATACTAACAATTCAACAATTGAGGGAATTTATAGGATTAGCATCCTATTACCATAGATTCATCAAAGGTTTCACCACGATAGCCAACCTTTACACAAATTACTAGAGAAAGATGTTCTCTACAAATAGACAGAAGGTCAGAAAGTCGCTTTCGAAATACTAAAAAGACATCTTATGACAGCCCCTATCCTAAGGTATCTAGATTTTAAGGAAATGTTTTATCTTTATACCGATACTTTTGGTGTAGGATTGGAAGCTATCCTAGCCCAAAAGGATAAAAACCACAAGGAATATGTGATAATATATGCTATTCAGGGACTCTCTAAGACCAAATGCAACTATTCAGCCCCAGAAGTTGAATGTTTGGTTATCGTATAGGCTGTCAAATATTTTTATTATTACTTAGGGCGAAGCATTTCACTCTAATTACAGACCATGCTGCCCTAAAATGTTTACATACCTCTGCACCAAAAGGGAAGAGAGCCCAGTGGATTCTAAGGCTACAACCATATAATTATAGAATTGTCCACAGAGTAGAATGAAAACACTCTAATGTAGACGCGTTATCTAGAATATATCTGTAGAAATAGATAGAGCGAAAGAAAATTAAATATAAAAAAAAAAAAATTGATTCTTAATATTTAAAGGTTTAGTTTTCCACAGAGAGTAGCCAGGTTGGCAAAAAAGCCTATTGCCAAGAACCTGCAACACATGTAGTAGTGGAAGACACTGCCAAGAGAGTGTTGAGACGTTACAGACTGATGCAAAAGGACCCACATCGAGAAGTTTACGACATTGCGAATATTCTGGGTATATTCATGTTCATATCGGTCTAGAAGTGAAAAGATAGATAAGTAATATTAAGAATTATTTTGAGTGAAAATTATCTTAAAACCATAAAGAATAATAGATAATTATAATAAGAAAAAAATATACAAAAAATTTTTTTTTAAAAAAAAAAAAACAATACATATTAAGGAAACTAGAATCAATTCTAAACCAAGGATTAGAAAAAAAAATAATATAGTATACCTGATATCCAAATATCCCAAACTGAAATCTGACATTAAAAATAATCTGGTCTAGGTAGTCGGTATCCTGGCATACTTCAAGATGGACCTATTAAGATATTAATTGCTGAAAACATACCTACAAGAACATACATTACCAAGGAAATTAACTTCTCAGAAACGACGAAGTATCCAAGCCCAGAGCCAATTCTTTGTCATAAAAAATGGGTTAATCTATAAGAAAAATAAACACCAAATTAATCACCTTTTGAGAATAATTCAAAAATATGAAATTAAATCAATTTTATTTCTGGTTCATACTCACCTATTAGGAGGACACTTTGGGATAGAAATAATGTTCAATAAAATCTGTAATAAGTATTACTGGCCACAAGTGTATACCGATATTCAGAGGTTCGTCTGTACCTACAATGCCTGTTAAAGAAGAGGCAAAAATTTAGTGAAACTGCCTTTACATCTAATACTGGTAGAAGCTCCATTCTACAAAATTGGAATAGATATTGTAGGGAAATTACCTGTAACTTCAAAGAGAAATAGATATATAGTAGTTGCTACGGACTACATGACCAAATAGCCAGAAGCTAGAGCAATAAAGAATGCTAATGCTTAAGAAGTAGCCAACTTTATTTATGAGAATATAGTTTGTCATCATGGATGTCCTCAATACCTACTATCCGACAGAGAAACTCATTTTCATAATACCCTAATAGATGAATTTTTAAAGAAATTCACCATTAATCACCATTACTCCACACTCTATTATCCACAGACAAATAGACTAGTGGAGCGATTCAACAAAATGTTATATGAATCTATTGCTAAACTAGTCACAAATGTAAGAGAATAGGATTCACTCATACTTTCAGTACTCTTCGCATACTGAACTGCCAAACAGAATATGACAAAAATAATTCTATTTTTCTTGGTATATGGAAAAGAAGCCCGATTTCCAATTCATCCTAGTGAAATTGAAGAATTATATCACTAAAAGAAGCATGATAACAATTTAAATATAAGCAATACAATCAAAATTAAAAGAATAAATAGTTAAGATTCGAATCATACCAAATTCGATTATAAAGATGTGATCTTAGAAGAATCATATAAAACAGGGGAGTAGTAGATAAAGATTATAGTTTAAAATTTTTTTTT